AATAGTTGTAATATGCACTAATGTGTAGTATAAGTGTTTACAGTTTAATCTTACCATATTTAAAATAAATAAATTTTAAGTTTATTTTGATAGGTGCATTCTGTACAGTTACTGTACCATTGTACACAGTGGGTATATTGCCTGATATAATGATAATTTAACCTTGACAGCCTTAATATTAAATTATCTGTAATTAATTAAAATATTAATAATTAATTATAACCATGCAACGTAATAGGATATTTAACAGGATCATTCAACTGCGTTTATGCCATGTCTAAAATATTATATAACTAAAAAATCTAATTATAAATTGAATCCAGGATATAGTATAGTTATATAAACAAGCAGAAAATTCACAATTTAGTCAATCGTTTTGAAACAATAGAAATAGTTTTCCTAAAAACTAAACTAAAAACTCACCGCAAAAATGATGAAAATCTCAATCGTTTTACTCATTGCTGGCGCCGGTATGTAATGACTGCCCAATTACTCCAGTCATAGAAATACTGACAAATTACTATTAAAACTGGTTTATTGTGTCATATGTTTAGCCGTAATGAACGCCAAACCCACTGAAGTGCCCGACGAGAGATGTGGCGGTGGTTTCGGCGGAGGGTTTGGAGGGTTCCCTCGGTTTGGATTTCCCGGTCAGTTCCCGGCGGGATTCCCGGGACAATTCGCTGGTCAGTTCCCCGTTGGCTTTCCCGGACAATTCCCAGCAGCCCTTCCCGGCCAGTTCCCAGCCATCGGAGCCCCTGTAGCCGCAGCCGCCCTACCGATTGGCAAACGCGATGTCGAAGCGCAGGTAGTCGAGGATGAGGTCAAACCTAATGCCAAATGTTTCGGTGGTTTTGGAGGTCTGGGAGGTTTCGGTGGCTTTCCCGGAGGTTTTGGATTTGGAAAATAGTTTATTTAAAAATTTATATTTTTTTAATAATGATTAAATACATAGTTTATTTATTTGAATATGTGATTTTAATTTAATATTTTTACTTTATTGCTGTTTATTATTATATTAAATATAATAATAAATTTTATTATAAAAATTATTTATGTTAAGATTTAGACCACATTAATATAATTTCAAAAAGTAAAAAGTATTTAATAAAAATCAATTGTAATTACAGTTTTTATTTGTAAAATGTCTAATAAATCTCGAAACTACACAAGTATTTAAAATACTGTTTGTAATTTAATATTAAACATTAGTTCAATATAATATGTCAATGTATTTTAATTATTAATGAATTAAGTAAAATTGTAATTCTATTGAAGTTGTAGTTTTTAAAATTTTTAGTGTTAATAAAAAATAATTGCATTCACAAAAATATTATTTTGTTTATGAACTTTATAATTATTCAGAAAAATATATCATAATGTTTTGCAAATAAATAAACTTTTAATCTAACATTTATAATATTTTTATTGTACAAAACCTTAACCTTGGTTAGAGGATTTTGGATATTCTGGAACCTTTTAAAAATATTATATTCACATAAATTAATTTCTCAAAAAATTAATAAAATATTTAAATTATTAGCGTGAGTGAGTTAATTATGTGGACAGTCAACCTTGGTAATGTAGGCCCACCAAACATATACTGAGGGCGATAAGGACCGAATCCGGGCACAGAATATTCTTTATAAAATTTGATTTAATGGTAATTTTAATGTTATTTCCCCTAAATATGACCCCCCTTAGCCTTATATATACGAAAAATACGTTTCGGCCATTCTTCGAGCGCTTTGTTGATCTCTTCTTGGCTCAAAGACTTCCACTCCTTTTTGAGAGCCCTTTTGAGACCAGCGGTGTCTTTAACTTTATACCGCCATAATCGCCGCTTGAGTAGTGTCCAGATCCTGAAGTCCATCGGTGCGCCATCAGGGGACTTTGGGATCCATTCCTCTGGTGGTATAAACTTGATTCCGGATCTTTTGAGCCACGCGATGTTCTTTTTGGAGGCGTGCGAAGGGGCTGAATCCTGCTGCAGAATGAAGTCACCATTGGGGTAGAGTCGGCGGGCGTCCCGTGAGATAAACTTCTTTAAGACGTTGTCGATATAATAATCGGAGTTTATCTTCGCTCCGGGTTCCACAAAGTGAAGTGATGTCTTGCCATTGGCTGATACACCCGCCCAAACCATGAACCCCTTGGACCCGAATTCCTTTTTGCAATAAGTTTGCATTTCTTCGAGTTTCGGGTTATCTCGGCTCATATACTGGATTTTACGCTTTCCATTGCAGTTGTTTATGTAGAACCAGGCCTCATCGGTGGTCACATACTTCCTCCACTTGCCGTTGTTGAGTCTTCGGTATAATTTCCATGACCTCTTCCACCGATTCTCGATATTCTTGGCGGTCAATACGTGTCCCACATTCTTCTTCCGCTTAACTAAATTAAGTGTTTTGTTGATGTGGTATGAGATGTTCGGTTGACTACATCCCAATTTGGAAGCCATACTTCTCTGTGTGGGCGGATTCGGGTTACTGGCCATAAGAGACAATCTTTTAATTTTCTTCGGGTTTAGTTTCTTGAAGTCAATGCCTTCTGGTCTCTTGTTTTCTTTGATTGGCGATGATTTTCCGGCTCTATTCTTGATGTCATGGATGGTACCCTTCCCGATGATGATCTTCCGCTTCTTGAGTTCGCTAATTATCTTTCGCTCTGACCACCCGGCCCGTAAAAGTCCTAAAACCTCACCCTCAACTTTCGGGTGAGTTCTTCGGCGTCCCATAATGTTTTGGTCACAACTAGTAATGGCGATTAATAGAGTGGCTCTAAATGATTAATTTAAGGGGTCGCACAATAATCTCGACCTGCTAATTGTTGGGATAATTAACTAATTACGTGCCCGGATTCAGTCCTTATCGCCCTCAGTAGTTTATTTCTATATTTCTATATTTAGATACTATATTACATACAACTGTCAAACAGAATGTAATTAATTTTAACTTGCCAAGTTTAACTTATAGCTATTAAGTAATGTTATATTGTTAAATATAATTAATTAATTAATGTGGAATATTTTTGTAAAATTGTACGTCAATTAAAGCAACTAGGATTTTCAACAGGATCATCCAACCTCAAATATACGCCCTTGAAAAATAGGTACAAACTAAACGGTAAGTATAAATTAGTTATTAAATCCGTTAGCATGTTAATCCATTAATTAACCAGGATATTAAAAAATCATATAAAAGCTGACTCAAAACTCTATGTTCATTTAGTTCACAAAATCTGAGTTTATATTCAAATAGTTTTCTCAAAAACTAAACCTAAAACTCATCGCAAAAATGATGAAAATCGCAGTCCTTTTGCTCATCGCCGGCGCCGGTATGTAATGATTGGTGACTCCAATCATAGAAATAATGATAATTACGACTCAAAACTGATTTAATGTGTCATACGTTTAGCCGTAATGAACGCCAAACCCACTGAAGTTCCCGACGAGAGATGCGGCGGTGGTTTCGGTTACGGATACCCCGGGTTCGGGTACCCTTACTATGGATTCCCCGGTCAATTCCCGGGACAATTTCCCGCTCAATTCCCTGGACAGTTCCCGACCGCCTTTCCCGGACAGTTACCCGTTGGCGTCCAACCTATTCAACCAATTCAACCCATTGGCGTCCAGCCCATAGCCCCCGCTGGAGCCCAACCAGTGGCCGGTGGTGTCGCTCAACCAGTGGCTGGAGGTGTGGCCCAACCCGTTGCCGGAGCACCGGTAGCAGCCGCTGCCCTTCCCGCTAATGTAGGCAAACGTGATGTCGAGGCACAGGTAGCTGTCGAGGATGAGGTTAAACCCGAAGCCAAATGTGGACCGGGATTTGGAGGGTTTGGGGGTTTTCCGGGAGGATTTGGAGGATTCCCCGGAGGTTTGGGCGGTTTCGGCGGTTTCCCCGCATTTGGAAAATAATTTAATGTTTTAAAAAAATTGTTTGTAAATTTTATTTAAATTAATCATCCATGCAAAATATATAAATAAATAATAACTTTAATTTCAAATATAAATACAGTGTTTATTATAATTTATATTTTGTTATAATAGAGTTATTTAATGTAATAGTAAAAATTAATTAACAATAAATATTTACTATTGTCCAATTTGTAATAGGTTAAATTTTTAAATTCTAAAAAATAAATTATTTAATGTGAAAATTATAAGTTATTGCTGGTACACCTTAAATAAAGTTATTTGTAAAAACCTAATCATAATTAAATTTAATGCTAACGTTCCAGTTTGTTGTGCATAAAATTAATTTTAAAATTTATTTGAAATCTGTATACGATTGGTAAGCCAATTTAATAAAAACTTTATTAAACAATTATAATTCTATTCACACTATGTATTTGTGACAGTTTTAAAATATTTATTTCGACAAATAAAAAATAAAAATATTTATAATTAGTTAACGAAACTAATATAAATATTTTTTCTATTTTTTAAAGAATTATGAGTAATTAATTGATTATAGTTATTTCTCTATTATGTAATTATTTTACTTGTTAGTATTAAATTATTATGTGCCAATTGTATTTAATTAAATTGTTTTAAAAAGTAAATTATTTTTCAAAATCAATACTACATTGAATGTCTGGAAATTAATTTAACATCTAATTTTATTTGAACCAAAATAGTAAATTATTTCTTTTGAGTTAATTATTATAAAATTATTTTATAATAAAAATACAGTTCATATACAGTAAATAACAGATGAAAAAAATTTAAAAGTAATTTAACATTTATTATAAAAAAAATATTTATACAATTTGTAATAAACCAAAATTGTTTGTATACTTTGATTTTACATTATTATAAATCTATAAACTTCTAATTATAAACTGACACAAACGAATTTAATAATCATACAGATAATTTCAATAATCAAATGATTTTAAAATTTTTTATTAATATATTACAGCATGGTAGCTATTTTCAATATTTAACATATACAGTAGATTTATCATTTAATTATTTAATAATGAAATATTAAATAAATTTATTTCCCAAAACCGAAACCTCGGTTAAAGCCTCCAAACCCACCAAATCCCCCGGGATAACCTCCATAACACCTAACATCAGGCTCATTATCGGTCACGTGCTCTACCTGTCCCTCGGCATCGCGTTTCCCAAAACCAAAACCTCGGTTAAAGCCTCCAAAACCTCCGCCATAACCCCCGAAACAACGGGTATCGGGGGTATTACCCACGGGTATGACCGCCAGTCTCTCACATAGCTTCTGTGAATACCCTTCCCATTGGTAAACCCGAGGCTAAATGTGGCGGATTTGGATATGGCAATTAAGACAGTCCCTGTATTTTGATATTACACATTATAAATCTATAAACATCTAATTATAAACTGACACAAACTAATTTAATTATCACACAGATAATATCAATAATCAAATGATTTTAAAATTATTTATTAATATATTACAGCATGGTAGCTATTATCAATATTTAACATAGATTTATCACTTAATTATTTAATAATAAAATAATAAATTAATTTATTTCCCAAAACCGAAACCTCGGTTAAAGCCCCCAAACCCACCAAACCCCCCGGGATAACCTCCATAACACCTAACATCAGGCTCATTATCGGTCACGTGCTCTACCTGTCCCTCGGCATCGCGTTTTCCAAAACCAAAACCTCGGTTAAAGCCTCCAAAACCTCCGCCATAACCCCCGAAACAACGGGAATCGGGGGTATTACCCGCGGGTATGACCGCCAGTCTCTCACCCTTTGCCAGCAAAACGAGGGAACCGTCGTCTTGTGGTTCACTACCGGTGACGAGGGGTAGGTTATCGTCGGTACGGCTCTGGTCTACCGATAGTTGTTGAAGATTTTTGCCGTCAATTACTTGCGATTTACCCCCTATTGGGAGGCGTAGGAGAGGGTGGAGGCGCCCCTCCAAGCGGTCAAATAGTGTGAAGTAGCCGTCGGTGTGGATCTGTTCGGCCACTATCTGGGGGAGGGTTAGGGCGGCGGGAAGTTCCTGGCAGTTGGCGAACCCTATTTAAAAAATTAAATTTTATTTGAATAAGCTCGCTACTATAATTTTAATCTAAATTACTATGATAGTGACTTAGTTATATTAAATATAATTGTTTTAATAAATATTAAAAATATGCTAGATTATAAAAGTAATTCTTTTCAAAATTATATTTTCCGTAGTAGTCCTTGGTCAATAATTTTGTCATGGTAAAATAATTATTAAATATTTATCAAACACTTACCAACAATGCATAACATGGCGATAATAGTAATGTACATGGTTAGTTTTGTTATCACAATTAGTATTAAAGTTTAAAATTTTATTATGCTTACTTAATATTCCTGGCGTATAATAATGTGCTTATATATAATATTTTATATCCTTGATCATTTCCTAGATTTCATGTTATATTCGGGCATTACATGCGTGTATAGCGTGTACTTAGCATTTGTAAATAAAATAATTATTTATTATAAACTAGCATATTTTATACCGGTTTGTGATTAATACGATTTTTATTTTATATGCCATTAACTAAAATAAATTATCCAGACACTAAAAGTAATAAAAATAGGCAACAGTGCTGACGCCCAATGTATTACTTGTTATCAGTATTTAAAAGTTTTTAAAAATATCATAAAATAATTGTACAGTTTAAACGTAAAACTTATATACTTTACACGTGTGTTATACAATCCGGGTAAAATACCATTTTATAAATCATGAATAGAAAATTGAATCCAGGTAATTTTTGGAAAGTTTTACCCCGATTAATAAATATGGTACGTAAACTAACACACCCACACTTTACGCGGTTTAAAATTCTCATAGAAAATGAGTTTAAAATCTCATAACAATTCACTTGAAGTTTAGATTTGAATTTTAAAAACTTTTCAACAACTTTTAAAACTTACTGAAAAAATAGTGAAAATCGCAGTCCTATTGCTAATCACTGGCGCCGGGATGTAATGATTAGTGACTACAGTCATAGAAATAGTGGTAAATATCGGACTAAAACTGATTTAATGTGTCATATGTTTAGCCGTAATGAACGCCAAACCCAACGAAGTACCCGACGAGAGATGTGGCGGTGGTTTCGGTTACGGGTACCCCTGGTTTGGGTAGCCTTACCCCTGACAGTTTCCAGGCGTCGCCCAACCCGTTTATCCGGCTCAACGGGTTCAACGCATTTGACCTATTGCTGGACAACCCGGTATTCAACAACCCGGTGCTGGACAACCAGGTGCTTAACAGGCAGGGGCTCAACAAACAGGTGCTGGACCGGCAGGTTCTTAACAACCCGGCAACTAAATTGCAAATAAAAATATTTTATATTTTATCTTGTCAAATTTTTATAATCCATTTTATTAATAAAAGTATAAAATATTGAATAATAATTGTTAAACATAAATCAATTTATATTTACATTTTTAAATAGTTTGATCTTAATATGTTATATAAATTTAGAAATGCCTAGCTAATTTTGAATTAAAAATTGGGGGAGTATGGTCTAATCCAACTTTAATAACAAATAATTTTTCTAATATTTTATTTTTAAAAATAAATTAAATGACAGTTTTAAATTTTTAAAATATATATTATTCATTAAATATTTAACCTAATAAAATATAAGTATTTATGCTTTATAAACTTAATAAAAGTTATTAATTTTAAATAACATCATTATTTATATATGAATAATTAGACCCAAATTAAAAATGACCTAAACATTAACCCAATTTATTTGGTTGTCTTATTTTATGAAGTAATTTAAACTGTACTTTATCGAGCACATATTAATAGTGTGTAAGATTTTTAAAATAGTTTTATTGTACTATTTTGTACTAATTTTAATATACAATTAGTATAATAATATTATAATTTTTAGTGCACATAGATCAGCAGGTAACTGAAAAGTAAAATAATTTTGAAATTAAAAAAATATTTAAATATAATTTAAGCAATGTAGGCGACTTTCCAATTTAATTTATTATGAAATATATCTAATATAGTATTCATATATTAAATATAATATAACAGTTTGAAATATTTTATACAAATTAAACATTATTAATTTATCGGTATGTTTTCATAAAGTATTTATATTTATTTATATCTATAATTGTCAAAAATTAATTATTAAGTTAAATTATTTAATTTTTATTAATTTTTTTTGTTTACCGTATATTTTATGTTACGCATTGTGTTAGTACCTAGAAGGCAATTACCGTACACAATTAATTGTATTATTGCATTTATTATTTGACTAACACTGAAATAGTTGTAAACATTAAAGTAATTACTTTAAAATAACCTTGTGCACATTTATTATAAAAAAACACATGTTTTATTAAGAAATCAAAAATTAATCATGATATTAAAACAATTATGTAGGAGCTATATGTACAATTATGTTTTATTTTAACAATATAAACGCAATAAAACTATTTTTACTATTACAAACTTACCTGCTGTTAAGTGCGGTTGAAATAATAAATTTTTAACAGGATACAATATTTATACTTTAATATAAATATTTGCAACAATTTATAAATTTCTACTAATAATTACTAAATAAAATAACTCTATACTGTAAACTTGTTAACATATTTTAAGTAAAATGTTTAAACTAGCAACTTTATTGATTATTGGCATAGGTCAGTCAGATAGATGATTTTAAAATTAAATTAACATGATAATTTTTGAATTCAACATGTTTATGAAATATATTTTTTAATCCATAGCTTCTGTGAATACCCTTCCCATTGGTAAACCCGAGGCTAAATGTGGCGGATTTGGATATGGCTATTACCCTGGCTATTATCCATATTACTATCCCTATTATCAACCCCCAGCACCTACACCTATAACATGGCCTATCACAATTATTGGCGGTAATAATACGGCACCTATAAACGGTACAACATCTACAAATGGCACAGCTACCGTTCCCAATCCAGCTGTGGGAGTAATTACACCAATTGGATAAGGATCAACTACTACCGGTGCTGAAATTGGCGTAGTTAGCTGAACATATTAATTGACAATGTTTAAAAATATGTTTATTTACTATTTGATATAAATAAAAACTTTCTTAAACATCAATGAGTTTTATAAATAATTTAATATTTTATTTTATATTATCACATTTTCATTAGCAAGGTACCTAGTATCTAATAGAATATTGTTTAAGCATATTATACACATAAATATTATTTATTATTTGTTAATAATTTAAAATATTATTGTGTATGTAGTTATAAAGATTCAGTTTATTTTATAGCAAATAAAAAATATATTGTATCTCAGCAAGGGAATTCAATTCTTTTGTTATGTCGTCAACAAGCTAATTAATAATGATCAAAAATCACTAAATATTTAAACATTAAACACCTGAGATTTAAAAAACATGTTTGTACAATTATAATGCCCTTATTATTATTATTCAATTATTGTTATTTATTATGTCCTAGAAAATATAAATTATAATTTTAAAAATAAACTTGTTTGCATCAAGTTAATTTTGATTTCGTTCAAGTTCAAATTACGGGCACAATATTAGAAAATCATATAAATATCAGCCAGTTATTTTGAGACAATCATAATAACTTTACAGATATTAAAAGTATTCAGATTATTGTATCTACAAAATCTACAAAGTTACCATGATTAAGATTACACTCATTGCCTTTATGTGCATTTTTGGTACGTATAATTATAAGGGTTATAAAGTACCGGCTGAAATACTCGAACTTTATTTACAGTAATGGCCTACCTATAATCTTTAATAACGTATAATTATTAAACTATAAATTTAAACATTTTTTATTTTACAGCCTACGCTCAATGTGCCAATCTTTCCGGCAATTTGCCCCAGGTGAAATTGATGACATACAAATATGATGGCGGATACATTGTTTATTACAGCGTGGTGAATGGCAACCTTAATCCTATTGGCAAATCGACATACGACGCTGGCACATACAATTTGCTCACTCAGTACTTGTTTAATGCGTATTCCAGTTCCTACGATAGCGACACTGATAAGCTCATGACTATAATCACCTCGGTTACTTCCCAACCCAATGGGTCAGTACTTTTTAGTGCCGGCAATGAGGTGCTGGGCTATGCAGTCAGACCCTCGAGTCGTGGCTAAATTATGTTTCATACATATGATTATCAGGATTTAAAACCCAATTAATGATTATAATGATATCAACAACCCAAAAAATATGTTTACCATAAATGATTAATCTTATTTTGTTAAATAATAAATTAAAAATGAAATTTATTGCAAAACCTTTACTTATATTTTAATTATTTATAAATATGCCACGATGATATTCATATGCATTTAAATGATTCGCCTATATGGTAATATACAGTAATCTTGTGATTATTTAACAAAACTATTAATATAGAAATTTTAAATCAAACTAGTAAAGTTAGCCGGACATAATTGTGTGTAATACGGTACATTTTATTAAATTTAAACTAATTAACTTTCCAGTAAATTTACAGTAACTGCCACCTGTAACTAATTAATAATAAAAATATTTTAAATGTTGTTTATAAAAATATTAACTATAGATTTAATACATTATTTATATAAATTCTAATAGTAAAACATTAAATTTAATTTAATAGCATTATATTTTAATTTCTATAAATATTATACTCCTTTATTTTTATAATACATTTAATAAATACACTTTTTAAAATTAACTAAAAAATAATAATTATTTTAAGCATTGTAAAAATTTAATTACAATTTACACAGTTAATTACAGTTAAAGCGTAGCACTTATTGTTTAATATATTTGTAGTTTATTAAATATTAGTTTTTAAAATTTGATAATTTTAGTTAAATTTTAAATTATAATATATTTTTAAATCATATTAT